GAAGGTCCTCTCACCCTCTTCCCTCTTCCCTCGAGCGATCCTTTGTCCCTGTGGGAGCCGCGCGCGGCGAGTCGCGTCGAAGCACCGCCGGAGGCTCTCGCGATCACCCGGAGGGACGCGAGGGACGTCCAGAAGAAGCGCGTGTTCTTGCCGAGTCCACTTGGCGGCCGAGTGATTGGCGGATCGCGCCGACGCGGTCTGTTTTATCGCTCGGCCTTCGGCCGACGAGAGAGCGAGACGGAGCGAGTCTCTCTCGACTCGCTCGGCTCGCTCGCCGGCGGGAGAGAGACGCTCGCAAGGCGGGAAAGTCTCCGGAGAAATCTCCGCTCGCGCGATGATCGATTCCGCTCGCGTGGGCTCTCTGGACGCGCGCGAGCCTGAAGACACCCAAGCGCAAGTGGCGGCCAACTGGCAGTCGCGCGAAATTCGTTATCGCGGCTATTCGATAGCCGCGACGCGTTATCGCGACGAAGGGAGATAGCGGCGGGAAGCCCCGTCGTCGCGCTAAATGGCGCGGAAATCCAGCCGCGTGCATCGACCTGAAGCCGCGCCGAGGCTCATCCGCCGCGCGCGCGCGGGGTCTTCCTCGTCCCTGACCCGCTCGCTGCTGCTGCAGCAGCGGCGGCGGCGGCGGCGGCAACCTCGATGAATCACGTGTCGTCGGAAGTCGATCTCGCCGAGCGCGACGATCCGTCCACGAGAGAGTTGACACGCCTCGCCCGCCCGCCGGCCCAAGCGCGCTCCTCCTCCCGCGCTGCGGCGTCCTCTGACCTCTGACACGGGAGGGAGAGAGGAGTCGACGCGCAGCACGTGGTGCTGCGGCACGTGGCCGCTCGGCGGCTGCCGAGGACGAAGGCTCTTCGGCCCGCCGCTGGACCGACTTGTCTCGAGTCCCGCGAGTCCGAGGACGACCTGCTGCTGGCCTCCCGCGCGAGAGAGAATCTCCTCTCTCTCTCTCTCTCTCTCTGTCTGTCTGTCTCTCTGTCTGTCTGTCCGTCTTCCTCCTGGCGCGATGACAAGAGCTCGCTTCTGATGACGAAGAGGAGCACTGCGATGGTCCAAGCGGTAGACACTTCGATCAGGAGGATCACGAGGAGGCACCGAAGGAATCGCGCGCAGCCGCGACGTGGACACTGGAAGCCACAGGTGGTGGACCCATGAACGTGGCCGGCGACACGCCGGGGATCCTTCCTTTCGTCGCGAGATCGATCGCTCGACGACGAAAGCGTAACACGCGAGCGGTGGCGGCGATCTAACGATCGGCGACCTTGCGGGCGCCGCGAGGCTCGCCGGCGCGGGCGGCGCGCATGTTCGGGCCGGGCGATCGGAAATCGCGGAAATCTCTCGCTACCGGTCTCAGGCGATCGATCGATCTCTCTCTCTCTCTCTCTCTCTCTCTCTCTCTCTCTCTCTCTCTCTCTCGGCAGGTCACGGCGTTCACCGTCGTCGCGGAGGAACTCGGAGGCGCGCTCGCGGAACGATCAACCGAGCGCACGCTCGGCGCAGGTAAGAGCGGTTTTCGAACAACTACGTGCCGCTCGCAAGGCGGTGTTTCTTTCTCCCCTGCATCGTGCATCGGCCCGCCGCAGAGAGAGGGAAATGGCGAAACGGCGGAAGGAGAGGTGGATGGTGTACAGCACTCCGTCGTCGCGCTGTGTTGCTGCTGCTGGTTGTGTGCGAGATCGGTACGGGAAGGGATGGGTAGCCCGACGCGCGAGGATCTATGATCCTTGTAGATCGAGCCCGGGGACTTTCGCGCGGATCCACGTCCGCTCGGCGCGACGTTTTGCCTCGCTCCTTTTTCTCGCTCGAGCGGAACTGAGAGGAAAGTATATGATATTTGGGACTGTGATGATATAGTAACTAAATTATAGTCCGAAATATCATATTTGTAGTAAGTATTACTATAATATGGGTAATAATTATGATATAGGCATAGTATAATCGAGCATATAATATTTTTACTTTAAGAATTATAGTAAGTTAAATTAAAATTATTGTATGGATACAAATATAAAATGGCAGGTAAAGGTAAACTCTTTTGTATAGTCAATATTAGCAGAATATTTGCTAAATGACAGATGTAACTATATGAATATTAAATCTCACTATATTTGTGAATGAGAAAAATACCATATATGTGGTAAAAGTAACTAAACAATTGTTTAAGACAATCATTGACTATATATTTGTGTTTATTCTACAGGTATATTTTGCAGGTTCCGCGAACTATAAAAATACGATTGACGACAAAATGAACTGTAAAATATAGTGAGATTATTTAGTGAGTTAATTGAACTATATTTTTCTATCAGTGCGAGCATCGCATCGCGCTGCCGACGGGTCGAGCGAATCTTGCTCGAGGCGAACGGTGCTTCCGGTTTGTGAAGGCGCGAATTTTGCGGTAAAGCAGAAATTCGTAGGAGCGCGTTCGGTTGTTACTGACGAGGAGGGAGTCCTGTTTCCTCTGCTCCTCTGCTTTCCTCTGCGAAACGCGTTTGTCTCGCCCATCTCGATCGGACGAATTTTCGGCCGCCTGGGCGCGTCGCTCGAGCGTCTCGCTCCGCAGCGAGCAAAACGTAGAGCGGAAGTGATCGGAATCAGACGAGTTCGATTTCGACTGCGGCCGTGTGGAAATGCGAGACTTGGCGACTTTGCGTTTCGCAAAGGGAGAGCAACCTCGCGGAGAAGTCACAATTTTACGCGCAACTGAGCTCGGCTAACCCTCGACTGTCAGTTGGTTCCTGTCTAAAGGCAACAGGTGCTCGTCAACCGCTACCATGTGGCAACCGTGCGTTATTTTTCCCAATACGATCGTGCGCGAAATATTCTCGCGTAATTTCACGCGACGATCACTTCTCGAGCCGCTCGTTTTCCACGCGGACGTCGTACGTGCAAACTTGGCAGTCTCCAGCGAAGCGCTTCCTCGTCGCAGGTTTCCCTCAAGATTCCCTGAGCAAAACATTGTTAGGGCCATCCTCACACTGAGAGAAAAATATATGATATTTGGAAGTATAATGATATAAATTATAGTCCGAAATATCATATTTATAGTAAGTATTACCATAATATCGGTAATAATTACGATATAGGCATAGTGTAACCAATCATATAATATTTTTGCTTTAAGAATTATAGTAAGTTAAATTAAAATTATTGTATGGATACAAATATAAAATGGTAGGTAAAGGTAAACTCTTTTATATAGTCAATATTAGCAGAATATTTGCTAAATGATGACAGATGTAACTATATGAATATTAAATCTCACTATATTTGTGAATGAGAAAAATACCATATATGTGGTAAAAGTAACTAAACAGTTATTTAAGACAATCGTTGACTATATATTTGTTTATTCTACTATATTTTGCAGGTTCCACGAACTATAAAAATATGGTTGACGCCAAAACGAACTATAAAATATAATGAGATTATAGTTAATTCAACTATATCTTTCTATCAGTGCATGAAGCATAAGGCCCCGATAAGAAGGATGCCCTGAAAAGGGATGCCTCATTATCACCACATCAGGCCCCGAGATGGATCTTTTAGGGATGTTTTGGATCTTACGAAATAAGGCTTTAGTAGGCAAAGCTGAAAAGGGCCTTAGGAAGATTTTTTAGGATTTTTTATCGCCTTAGATTTAATAATTAAGGCTTTGATTAGGGAAAGCTAAGAAGGGCCTTGGAAGGATTTTAGGGATGCCTTAGATTTTACGAAATAACGCTTTAACATGGAAAACTGATATGGGCCTTAGGAGGATCCTTTGAGAATACTTTAAATATACAAAATCAAATTTCGTTGTAGAAAATTAATAAAATCTGAAGTAAAAATATCGTCATGGTTCAGTACTGTTTTAGTAGGTACGTTCTATCTGGTTCTTTTAAAGATTTTTTAATTATACCGCAATTAAAAATAAATTTTATTAATGTTATTAGTTGCCCTATTCATTAGTCTCTTCCTTTTCAAAGGACTTTTCTAGTGTCGTCTTCGTTTTGAAATGCAGCAAACTTTAATAAAAACAGCAGCAGGATTTTTATGTGTAAAGAATGTTTTATTGTTAAGTATGCTATATTTTTAAGATAAGAAATTTTCGTTGTATACCAACAAGGTTATAAAGAAATAAAGAAATTACAGTCTGAATTTCTCGGGATGAAAAGAACGAATAGTTTTACTCAAGCAATAATAAAAATACTTCCTCTTATAACGCCCTATTATTAATATTACCTTACAAGGACCCGTTAAATCATTTGTTCTTGTTTTTTGGGCCTTTGTCTTTCTATTTCTACTAGGGCCCGATTAATGTTAGGGAGAAATAATCAGGCCCTTACCAGAGTTATATGAATTTTTCCACTCGGGCCGCCGATGAAATTAGCTCGATTACGAGCGGCTCGTCAACGACACTCTCGCTCGTCCCGCTTTCGTTAAGAAACCGATCACTCGGGAGTATCTTATAGCCGTATCACACTAGCGACTCGCGACTGCGGCTGCGATTGCGATTGCGATTGCGACTCTTCCTCGACCAATCAGAAAGCAGCGACTCGCGGCTGCGACTCGCGACTATCGTTTGGACGGCTGTCCATTTTTCGAGTCGCAGCCGCAGTCGCAACCAATCACAGAACTCCGTATAATCACGTGACCCGTTCGTCAGAATCACATTTATTTAACAGTATGTAGAAGTCGGTGATCATTAGAATAAGGTTATGTCTAGTGTTGTTTTATGTGCTACATATTTTTTTTTTAAACGTCGAAACAATTTAATAAAGAGATAGATTATTATTTAGTAGATCTCGTAGAATGTAAACCTGGGATTGTTGTTCTCTGGGATTGTGACGTGTGACAGTATGTTAACGTTATTTAGCCGCAGCCGCGATCGCCAATCGCAAGTGTGATTGGAAAACAAGAAATCGCAGTCGCAGTCGCAGCCGCGAGTCGCTAGTGTGATACGGTCTTTGCGCGGGGGTGAAAGTGAAGGTGGTGAATAAATTGCCCGCTGATTCTTTACCAATCCTTTAATTGTTCATATATTGTTTGCTGGGAGGGATTTACAGGTGTACATTAAATGGGACTGTAACATCTATGCGCGTGACCCTTTGCGGGCGCAGTCGAGTTGCGTGAGTCTGTAAATGATAAATCACATATATATATATGCAGGATGAAGCGCCTAAAATAGACCACCTGAATAACTATGAAAATATGCGAGATAGGAAGAAATGTTGAGTTGCAAGAAGTTGCAGGGTTTTAAGTGACGCATCGCGTAGCGATATTTATCGGAAAGATTTTCTTACTCGCTTAATTTTTTCGAGATTGCTTAATTCTCTTTGAAAATTTCTCGAGATCTTTCCTGAGGTATTTATGAAAAACTGCCAATTTTTTCAATATTTAGCTTACGAAGATATTTCGGTAACTGTTTGTAAGAAAAAAGTGGTATTGGACTTTTTTGCTCCATTCGGTCCCAAAAATATGATGTTGCAATATGGTGTCGTAACTTTTGTTAACTTGATGATCCTTAGAAATTTCAAAATATTCTCGAGACCAAATGGAGTAAGAAGGTCTGGCACAGCGCTTTCTCTCCCGACAAATAGTCGCCGAGATATCGTGAGCCAAATGCTGACAAAGTTAGCAGCAGGTTCCCTCGCGCATCTCAAAAAATATTAGACGAATGAAAGAATGTTTTTCGGGCAAGAGTTGGTCAAATTGATCGGTAGAGAAAGGTGATCAAATAAAACAGCGAGAATTCCTGTTTGAAAACAATTCATGATGCCCTTCCTGCGACGCCTTCGATGACGCTGCTCAAGGTCATACCAGTACTGCTATGCGACGCGTCTCGCTTAAAACCCCGCAGCTTTTGCATTCAACGTTTTTCCTATTTTCTAAGTTGTCCGAGCGGCCCGTTTTAGGCGCCCGCTCTGTGTATATTTATATTTATATATATGTGTATATGCATTCGATATAGCATTCTTCTTAATTAACCACTTACAATAATCGGTAGACTCCGCTTCTACACACACGGTCGACAGATATACAAAACATCGTATCGTACAAAATAGTAGCAGTAGTATCACTATCAATTTCGTTCCAGCAGACGAGCCGCTACGCACGGTACAGCCGCCGCGCCTCGTTTCCTCGGCGGTGTTTATTCGCCGAGGCGCTTCGACCTCCGTCCTCTCTCTCTCTCTCTCTCTCTCTCTCTCTCTTGGGAGAGACCCCGAAGAGAGAACAAACGCATTCGCGCGGCTAGGGAAATTAATAAACTGGTCATGGTCCTTTGTTTCAGTGCCGTCGTTACGCACCCGGATAGAGTTTGTCTCTCCCTCTCCCTCTCTCTCTCTCTCTCTCTCTATACAAATTCATCAGGCAGCCCGTTGTTATCCGTACTCGCGAGTACGTTCGCGGTACTTGCGAATACCTGCCGGGCGAGACTGCTGAGACAGCGCGCGCTTTGTTGCAGCTCGAGAAAGCGCGCGCGAACATCGCGGCCTCTTCGGTCCGTCGAGAGGCGATCAACTGGAAAATTCGATGTGTGCACTGGTATCGTTACTAAGACGATAAAAATACCGTACGTAGCGCGCGCAGGTGGTTAGATAGATAGGTAGATAGATAAGATAGATGATAGATAAATAGATAGATATAGAGAGAGAGTCCATCAGCCGAAACGGAAATCGGGAAGGGTGAAAGGTAGAACTCCGGTCTCGTATGTACAGAGTGACACGATCTCGCATCTTTCAAAATATACACGTGTATATATATATATATATATATATATATGTATTTATATCAGGGAGGGGGGATAGAAACGAACAGGTGTCGCACAAGGGAAGCGCATCCTCGCTTTGTCTCGCGCTCGTTGCCGGGGAGGCGCAATGACACGTCCGAGAAATTAGCGCGCGGGCCTCTCTGCGAGTCTCTCGCTCTTTTCGTTCTTGCTTTTGCCGAGAGAGCGAGTCTCTCTCTCTCTCTCTCTCGAAAAAATAGCGACGTACTCTCTTTCTGTACATCTTCCGCGATGCTTCTCCTTCCCGCCACTCGTGCCTCTCGAAACGTCAGTGCGACAGAGTCATTTCACGCCAAAGTAGCCCCTGTGTACGTACGCATGTACAGGGTGTACAAAAAGTACCGGCGCGGCGAAGTATCTCGAAAACTAAGCGTCTTAGGAAAAACTGTTTCAGACAAAAGTTGCGTGGTTTCAAGCGGAACATAAGGAAATTATATCATTTTGTTTACAGGTGACGCCACTTCCGAGATATTCATTGATCATTACTTTTGTCAAAGGGAAATTCCAGTCTTTCATTACATTGTCCTTTTCTGGCAATTAATCTCAACAACTTTTGTCCGAAACATATCTTTCTAAAATGCTCAGTTTTCGAGATATTCCGCCGTGCCGGTACTTTCTGCACACCCTGTATGTATATCGTATACCTTGAAGAATTTTCGCTCGAGTACGTAGCTTTTGTACTGTAGTGTAAATCGTCGGTGACGAAGCGCGAGCGGGGGAGATGGACGACACATGGTGCGGGGGGAGGATGGCGGGGGGGATGAGGGGGTCGGCGAGCGAAAATGAAACTCAAAAGGGACAAACAGGCGGGGCACGTTGTACTATGATCCAAGTTTTATTAAACAAATTAAATACAAAAGATTTTCTGTTGCTTGCTGTATACGCGTGATAGTCGAATATCTCGGGGTTATAAATAATTAAAACAACAGAACGAAGCGTACAGTATATGTATGTATAAATAAAAAAAGAGAAAAAAAGGAGGGAAAGAGGTGCGGGTCCGTCTTGAATTTGCACTCGTTGAACAGCGAACACTCTCTCTCTCTCTCTCTCTCTCCCCTCCCTCCCCCTCCTTGGCGCACGCAGTCGCGCTGCTTTCTCTCGCGAGGGGGCCAAATTTCGTTTCGCTTTGTCTCCTGAGGGGAAGAAGACTCTCGCGCGACTCGACGCTGAATTTGCATCGCTACTCCGCCGAGAATCCCGTTCTTCGCGCTCGCGAGATGCACGGAGAGAAAGAGAGAGTGAGAGAGAGAGCGCGCCGATGAAAATTGATGAAAAGTCCTCGGCAGTCCGTCGGAAAAGTCGTAAATGCGTAAACATGGAATGACGTGGAGCCTGGCACGCGGCTACGATCGCGCAGGACGGCGCAAGGCTGGCGAGACGAGCGCGAAGATAAAACTCGATCTGCGATCGGAAATGGAGAGGAGGGACGGAGTGAGAGAGAGAGAGAGAGAGAGAGAGAGAGAGGGAGGGAGGAGGAAGAAGAAAACGATTCGGGCGGGTTCTCTTTTTTTTTTCCGGTTTTCTTTTGATGCTGCATTACGAAGAACCTTAATTTATCTGGTAGATACGCTTAAAAATCTCCTCGGGAACGCTGGATATTAATATTCAAAGGTCGTTAGGATATGTACAAAGAGATATAATATGAATACGCGAAATATATATGCATATATACATATACATATATATCGGATCTCCCGTCCCGAAGGACCGAGCTGAATCGCGTTCCCTCCCGCTCCTTCGGGATCACCGGACACTACTGGTCGAAGAGAGTAACACAGTCTTCGTGGATCATTCGAGATTGGTCTTTCGATGATAAGAAGGAAACGAGCGGTGAACAGTCGAGAGAGAGGAGGGGAGAAATGAATGGGGGAGAACGACGACGACGACGACGACGCGCGCGTGGATCTCGCTTCTTTCCGCGATGGTCGGACGTGGAAGGCATGCCGCGAGGAGAGGGGGGGGTATAAGTGTCGCGAAGAGACGAACTCTGGAATGTAATTCACGCTAAAGATCCGAGTATCCGGAGAAGCACTGTGTTGACTCTCGATACTCTCTCTCTCTCTCTCTTTCTCTCATGTTCACGCATACTCCTCATTCTCTCTCTTACTCTAACGCTCTCCCTCTCGCTCTCTCTCTCTCTCTCTCTTTTTTCCTTCGCATACTCGGCAATCGCAAAAACGGTGCCTGGGTAATTAGGCCCTCTTTGCTATCGCGTACGCGAATTAGTCTCTAATACTTGCGAAAGGACTCGAGTCTCGCATAAGGAACGCGCGCGGCAACGCGCTTTGTTTCGATACGGTTTGGACTCGCGCTCTTCTCTTCCGGGCGCAATTTGAGACGCGGTCGATGCCGGCCGCGACTCGACTTCCACCGAGATGCGTCTTGATATCTGGGAGAATTAACTTCCGCCGAACTGCGTCTGCGAACTCGCGCGAGAATTAACCGCCATGTGAGAATTCATTCCGCCGGAGTGCGTCTGAAACTTTGTCTGAAAATTAATCTCCCCCGATGCGCGCGACTCCCGAGAGTTAAGCTCCCGCGGCGAGAGGGGGGCAACGAATTCCTCCGGATCGACCGCGTTCCAAACTGCAAATCGGGAAAGAGAGCAGACTAAATGTCGGAGCCGAATGGACACGCGCGCACACGCACACACACACACACACATACACACACACACACACACAATACACATGAGAATAAATCTACGATAATAAAATCGCTTTTCTCTCCCTTCCCCTCTTTCTCTCTCTCTCTTTCGCATCGACTTATGAAGTAGCGAAGAACTCTGTCTCTCGTTCTTCTTCTTTCGCTTCTTTCGCCCTCGCCCTCGAATTCTACGCGATACGACCTGAAGAAGTTTCCGTCGCGCATCGCGGACGACGCAATTAAAAACTAAAAGTACCGAGATATCGATAAAAGACAACGAAAAATACTAAACTGATGATGACGACGTAGTGAACTAAAGATTGAAACTAGAAGAGGGGGGAAACTAACTTACTTGCGAGTTAAAATCCGTCAAGTGTTTCGTAAAAAGAAAGTGGTCCGAACGAACGGGTACAGTCTGCGGTGACGCGTTTGCGAGAAAAGGAAAAAGCAATTGTCTCGTAACCTCCTCCTCCTCCTCCTCTGAGCAGTTCGTCCTCGAGAAGTGACCGGCTTGCAGGCGATTACGTTAAAATCCGGCAACGAAAGCCGAGGGTAAGTAAAACCGCCGGCTTGCGGCTCGTAAAATCCGAATAATCGTTCGTGAATCTGAGCGGGGAGCGAATCGGGCGAATCCGTCTCTCGTAAAAGCAAGGCGCTTAAAAAACAAAAGTGTGATTAAATCGCTGAATCGGCGAAGATATCAAGTCTGTAAAAACGATCGTGTCGCGTGTCTCCGCTTTTTCCTTTTCCTTCGTCTTCTTCTTTTTTCTCCGGATCTCGATAAAGAGGCGCGAAGGTGTCTGTCTCTTTTTCTCTTCTTTCCGTCTAGAGTTCTCTAAATCTGCGCGCAGTGTCGGCCGGGCGGGAGAGAGGGAAGGAGGGAGGGAGGGAGGGAGGGAGGGCTGGACACGAGAGATGCTCTCTGAACGCACTCGTCGACGTTTCGCGCTTAATATTTCCCCTCCCTCCGCGGGGTACCTTTCCTCTCTCTCTCTCTCTCGTCGTCCCTCCTCCGACCGCCGCCGCCATCGCTGCTGCTGCACGCTAAACGCTAAGTAACGCTACGTTATTTACACCAACTTACGCTCTATTACGGGACGCGCACGCTAGGTGCGCGTTCGCCTATCTATTATATATTACAGGACACGCCGTCGCTCGTACTTTCTCTGGCGGACACACGCGGTTTATAATTATATATATATATGTATATATGTATATATATATATATAACATCTTTGGACTCGGTTTTATTACACATCTATAGAGAATATTACGATCGTTCTCTCCTCCTATTCACCTCTTTCTCCTCTCCCTCCTCCTCGATCTCACGCTCCTCTCGGCGGCCTTGGGAACTCGCGCGCGCGCGCGCGCCTATTATCAGACCCGCCCCGAGAAGCGTTCCCTCAGTCTGATTAGAAGGACAAAAACGGAAAAAGAAAAGACGAGAGAGAAGAGAAGCAAGTACCCTCCTACCGTCTCTGCCTCGTACATCCTCGGGAACCGGCCGGGCTCTCTCTCTCTCTCTCTCTCTCTCTCTCTCTCTCTCTCTCTCTCTCTCTCTCTCTCTCTCTCTCTCTCTCTCTCTCTCTCTCTCTCTCTCGCTGGCCGCTCGTCGCTTTCCATCCAGTGCCGGTTGAACGGTGCGCATTGTACAAATAACCTCTTCCTCGACGCTTGAGATTCTCAACGGCGCGCCGTCGTGTGTTGGGAGCGGGTGGTGTAGGCGGGCTGGGGGGAGACTATTGGAAGACAAGCGCGCTCTCCGGGTAAATAAGAATTTTTAAAAACGCCTCTCCTCGCGGCAGTGGCGACGTCGAAGAGAAAGTGGGTTTCGCCCACACGCGCGAAATTGGCCCGCGCGGCGCTCGCGGAGAGCGAAGGGAGGACACAGAGTGGCGGTGATGGTGGTGGCGATGATAAGGTGGTGGTCGACGTGTGTAACGATCGTTGAACACACACATATACACACACATACACACACCGTTTCGGGAACGCTACGTGTTGGGCGCGAAACAACGACCTGGGAGTCCTCGCCCTCGTCCTCAACCCTGGGTGCCCGGTGCCTCGGGGGTGCAAGACGACGTAGTCGGAGAGGGAGCGACTCTCCCCTCCTCTGGTCCGCGCGGGGAGAAAACGGTCCCGACGCAATTAGCTAAACCGGGCAAAGCGACAGAGATTCGGCGTGACTGTGTGTCTGTCTGTGTGTATGCGCGCACGCGCGCGCGTGTGTGTGTATGTGTGTGTGTGTGTGTGTGTGGGCCGCTTAGACCGCCGACACTTGGGCGTCCTCGTCATCTGCAACAGTTCAGAATTGCATTTTAGAGAGTGGCAAGTTTGAGGGCGCGCGTGGCAATCTGTACAAGCGCGAGGGACTCTGCGAACTCGCAACGCGCGCGTTCCTCGCGCTTCGTTCGGCAGGATCAGGAGAAACGTGCAGGGGGGAGGGGGGGGGGGGAAGAAGAAGACTGGTCGAATCGACGCGACGGTGGACGTTTCGGGAGTCCCTCGCGTAGAAAATCAGAGTCGCTTCCCGACGAACGGAGAGCCAACTCTGAAGACGTGTCGATGATATCCGATCAATCTTTTCCCTCCAGAGTGTCGCTGGAAGTGGAGGATCCGCACGGCAGAGAGTCGCGGGAAAAATCAGATCAAGCTGTCGTATAATGTAATATTAAAAAGAAAGAAAGAAAAAAATAGGAGAAAAAGATGGCTCCATGCACTGGATACTAGAGAAAGCGGCTTATATATGTACAGTCGATGCTCATTCCCTTACAATTTTACGGGTTAGAGTTTCTCGTTTAATGCGATGCCTAATAAGAGAGAAACGCACCGAGTGCGTTTCTCCGGCTAAAAAAGGAAAAAAGTCTAATTGCTCTTCAAAAGAGGCCGCTTCGAGAAATCTCCTCTCTCTCTCTCTCTCTCTCTCTCTCTCTCTCTCTCTCTCTCTCTCTCTCTCTCTCTCTCTCTCTCCCTCCCTCTCTCTCTCCCTCTCTCTCTCTCACTCACTCACTCACTCACTCACTCACTCACTCACTCACTCACTCACTCACTCACTCACTCGGGAACAATCCCGACGCGAACGAGAAAAATGCGGCAGTACAGAACGATGACGTGCGACAAGTAATGCAAGCAAGCAAGACTCCATGCCGCGGCAAAAGGTGAATAATTACGGAATCAAACCGCGTATACACAGGGTGAGCCACCTAAAACTGACCACTTTGAAAATATGCAAGATAGGAAAAAATGTTAAAATACAGAAGCTGCAGGGATTTAAGTGAGACGCTATTTTTTATTTTGTCATCTTTTTCTTCCAATTAATGAGCAATTCTTGTTTGAAATATTTTTCTATTCGTCTGATATTTTTTGAGATATTTAAGAAGAACTTGCCAACTTCATCAACTTTTGGCAACTCACAATATCTCAGCAGTTGTTTGTCGGAAGAAAAGCGCTGCTAGACTTTTATATTCTATGTAGTCTCAAAAATATGCTGTTACAATATTGCCTTAACTCTTGACTTGAGGGGACCTTTGGAAATTTCAAAATCATCATGTTAACAAAAGTCAGGGTACTAAATTTCCCTTAAAGGTCTCAAGAAATATTGGGCAAGTAAAAAAATGTTCCCGACAAAAGCTGTTCAGATCGTTAATTGGTAGAAAAAAGGTGATAAAGTAAAAAGTGGGAGTTTCCACTCGAAAAATTCAAAGTGACTTTTCTGTGACCTTGATGACGCTGTTCAAGGTCAAACTATTGCTACGTCACTTAAAACCCTGCAACCTCTGCATTTAACATTTTTTCCTATCTTGCATATTTTCAAAGTGGCCCCGTTTTACGTGCCTCACCCTGTATATACAGGGTGTTCATTTGAAAACCTTCCAGCTAATTATCTCGAAAACTATGAAAGATATTAAAAAAGCTAAAACACGTGTTCCATGATTTCGAAGGGGGAAGAGAATGACATTATCAGCTTTATATTTGGAGGGCATTTTCAAGGTCAGTTCAAGGTCAACTTAATGTTTTAAAATAGAAAGCCCAATTTTCTATTATATCTTCTTTTTCCACCAATTAATTTGAACAACTCTTGTCTGAAACATTTTTTTGTCTGCCTAATATTTTTTGGATTTTTTGGAAATATTTAAGAAAAACTTGGTAACTTTTTCAACATTTAACTTACAATATCTCACTAACTATTCGTCGCAAACAAAAGATAGTATTAGACTTTTTTTACTTTGTTTACTATCAAGAATATGTTACTATAATAGTGCCCTAACTTTTGTTAATTCAATAATTTTGAAATTTCCAAAGGTCGATAAGTTAACAAAAGTTAGGGCACTATTATAATAATATATTCTTGATAGCAAATAAAGTAAAAAAGTCTAATACCATTTTTTCTTTCGACGAATAGTTAGCGGGATATCGTAAGTTAAATGTCGAAAAAGTTACCAAGTTTCCCTTGAATATTCCCAAAAAGTATTAGGCAAGTAAAAAAACGTTTCACACAAAAGTTGCTAAAATTAATTGGTAGAAAACGAAGGTATAATAAAAAATTGGGCTTTCTATTTTGAAACATTAAGTTGACCTTGAACTGACCTTGAAAATGCCCTCCAAATACAAAACTGACAATTCCACCCTCTTTCCCCTTCGAAATCATGGAACACGTGTTTTAGCTTTTTTTAATATCTTTCATAGCTTTCGAGATAATTAGCTGGAAAGTTTTCAAATGAACACCCACCCTGTAATCTGACATACACGTACATACATACAAACACACACACACACGCGCGCACACACATACACAGCAACATGTCAATGCAACATTCGACGCTGGGCAAGCCAGTGGGGTGTGGATGCGATGAGCGACTAGCAACACAAATATTGACTCGACGCAGTCGAGGTGCACATTCACGCGAGCGCGCTAAACACGCACGGTGATGATATCGCGGCAGCGGTGGCGGGGGGGGGGGGAGGGAGAGGGGGCCCGATTCGATGCACCAGCTCTCCACACGGCGTAAACAACAGACGCTTGGTTAATTAACACGTGAACAACAGAGTATTTACAGTGCGTACGGAATGACCAGAGAGAATTTCTCACCGACACCGTCGGCGGCGGCGAGAGATCGTTTACAATGCCGCCGCTGTGTTCGCGATTACGTGCGTGCGTGTGCAAGGCTGGCGTTCGAGATTGCGTTACGAAGAGAGATGCACGATAGCAGCTCGATGATCTCTCCGGTTATTGTTCTCGCCAAGGTTCGCGCAAGGTGATCAAAGCTCGGTGGACGATCTAAACGAAGCCTTGACTCGCGTCGCGTGATTGCTCAACGCAACGGTGGAGACCGGTTCGGATAAAAGGCGATTGAAACACGTCGAAGGTCGGTTTGCGGGGTGAACTTTGGGTCCTGGCTTGCGGAAAGGCCTCGATCTCGCGCCCCGCCAATTCGGGAGATCGATCTGGGGGAAGCATCAACGCCCGTTTCTCCTTGAAACTTGAAACTCTATTCCGCCCAGCCGAAGGTTCAATCGACCTCGAAATGGCTGAACTAACCGAGACTGCAGCTTCCGTAAGCGACCGAGGACGCTTTAGCCACTCTCGATGAAAACACACGCACGATGAAGAGCGTTCCGCTGAAAGGAGTGAAGAAAAATTGTCCGATGAGCGAGAGTGTTGCAATCACGCTTGTGAGGTCTGCTGTTCACAGCTGCATTTTCTCAGCTACCTCGCAAGCTCGTTCTCCTCTCTTCCCCCCCCCTCTCTCTCCCTCTCTCTGCCAGCAAACGCGCGCAGAATACGAGTCTGCCTGATTTTCCGAGGGCGGACGATGCAGCTGCGAAGAACAGACCCGCAGAGTCGCGAAAGTGACCTTCGCGCTCTCGAGCGACGGAGATGATGAGCGGCGGTGACGAGAGCTGCAAAGAAGAATCAACACTCTTCGCCGTGCGTGAACGTTAACGACGCGAGCGTAAAAGCCTCGACGAGCCGAAGTGTGGTAAAGTGTGAGGGTGAGGTGGTGGTGGTGGTGGTGGTGTGTGAGCTGTGTAAACGGTAGCGATTTGGTTACATGTAGTACCATCTTCGTGATCGGTGCGATAAGTGACCCCCTCGTGGCTGTTAGCACGACCGAGTCTGTGCAATCTCGCCATCTGTTGCGCGACTTTGTACGCCGGTGGTTGACGGCACTGCGGCCCGCTACTCATGCCGGGTCGCATCGTTGTGATCGACGGGATGTTGCCCGCCGCCATGGCGCTCATCGTCGTCGTCATTATCGTCGTGGTGCCCGCTCCGGGCGGCAGCGGGGCTGGCATCCCTAGGCCCATGCTTACTCCTCCTAATCCCATAGAACCTGAAAACCCTCGACTCACTCCATCTCTCTTTCTCTGTCTCCCCTCTCAGTCCGCCTCCGCGCCGCGCTCAACTCTCCTCCTCATTATCATCCTCCTCGTTATCATCATCATCATCATCATCATCATCATCATCATCATCATCATCAGCCGCCAGCGAAAGCGATTCGCGGACGCCAGGCGATGTGCTAACCGAGCGCTTTATGCGATCAACTCATTAGCGAGCAGTGTCCCACTCGTGGTTCCTTTTCTTTATTTTCTTTTTTTTTCAATGAAATCACTCGCGATTAGCATATAATTTCGCTTTTATTCTCACTCTGACCACGTATTTAATCTCGGATACTTAAAACTCTAGTCTCCATTTCTTCCGCGGCTTTTTGTTCCCGGCGGCTAATTTCCACGAACTTCTATAGTGTAACTAGACTGTTAACTCCCTTATATACTGTAGCACAAAATTGACCTCAAAACGTATGTATTACATAAGGGAATCAAACATCTGCGCATGCGTGAATTGGAGTCCACAAGGAGAGGGGGTACATGTAAGCAATATGGCAGCACATCCAATTAGAAGGAATGTGTTTTGATTCAACCAATCAGACGTGAATGTCGGACACCAGGACGGTATATACTTTTCGGGGTCATGTATTGAGTCGGAGTTAGCAGTCCAGTTATACTATAGAAGTCTGTGCTAATTTCTCAGCTACATCCGAACCCTCGCAAGGGAAAATAATTTCGAGATCTCTAGAACTTTACAGGCCGGATATTTGCATGGCGGGTGTGTTTTAATTTCCAATTTCGAGTTGGTGAGCCGAAAAAAAATAATTCTCAAAATATCCCCGAGCTCTCGAGGAGATAAACAAACCGACCTCGTGAAAAAGACCCGTGAACCACTCACTGCGGTCCCCAATGGGTTGACACCGCGCGTCCTGCCCGTACGCTCCGTGAGAGACTCTGCAACTCGTCAGGACATCGTCGACAGAGGAAAGTCGCGAGCGACCGGGCAAGATAAACAAAGTGCGGAGGCAATCGCGCTCGCTTAACGACCCGCCGAGAGACCCGCGACGCGCAGCTCTAGAAGAGAAAACCGCAAGAGGCGCGCTCGGCCGCCATGGCCGCCTCGCCGCGAAACCTCGACACCCAAGAGAGGAAAGAAGCGCAAGGCACGAGTATACCATATTTCACGCAGTTAGTACCCTGAAAAGGAACGCTCGGCTGTCTCCGTTAATACCGTAGGACACGCACGCACACGCGCAAAGAATGCAGCGTGCTTCCGAAGCGTGCAGCTGCGACGCTTCGGAACGCCCAAGAGAGAAGCGAACGTCCACGTCGTCCTTGTCGCTGTCGTGCGCTTGTTCATCAGCACGTCGACTGCTCCGCGTTTCGATGCTGAAGTCTGGACAAAGATGCGCTAGGTAACCCTTAATACACCAAGGCTTTTGGATCGACGTTGCTCACCAAGCGGGGGTCCTCACAGGACCCCGTCGTTTTTCCGGAGTTCTTCAATTGTTTGACACAGATTATGTCACTCGAGCTTTGTTGGCGAGAAATTGTGACGTAACTACAACAGTGCACCAAAACTTGGTCCTTGGGTTCGTCAGAGGACCTTTTGGTATATTAAGGGTTAACTGCGTTTCACGGTGCCTGCAAATCAGGGGTACCACCCACGGGCCATCAAAAGTTGTCGGATTGTGTAAAGTGTAACTTCAAGTTTTTCGTTGCCGATCGTCCTGTCAAACAGTAGCGACATAGGAACGCATTGAAAAATCTCAAATTGCTCATTGCACAATCCAACGTTTCAGGAGGAGACACATTTTCAAGTCTACGGACGAATCCTTTAGTCCGTAGTCACTGTGAATTAATTCCTCGGCCAGGATTTCTCATTTCTTACTCGAGGGAGGAGAGAGACAAGCAGGAGCCAACGCAGGCGGGCGGAAAGTATAAAGATAATTGCAGACGCGTTTAAATCGATTAATTGGGTGTCTGCAGTCGAGTCAACTTCTTGAAGTTGTAATACTTGTATTAGGTGTATAAATTAATTCTCGACCTTTCTGGCATAATTTTGATTCTGTATTCTTCCGAGCTTCTTTAAATGTATAGAAATAACCGGTCGAATGACTCCCAGTTCTTCAGCAAGCTTCTTTTGCGTCTGACAAGGATTCTCGTCGAGTGCTTCTCTGTCAATTCCTCATCTTTGTCAATTTTTTGTGGTTGTCCAAGGCGTCCTTCATCCTGGAACCACTTTTTACACGTGCTGTAGGACACAGCATTCTCGCCCAAGGCCGAACAAATTATTTTCTGTGCTTCTGCAGCGTTTTTTCTCTCTCTAAGTTGGAATGCGAAAGGAGTCTCAGATACTTCTTTTCGAACGACATTGCTTTTACTGCTGTTTTTTGAGGTTATGTCAATAGCACCATCGATTACAGCTCGTTTTAAAGCTCAGAGATGGCGCTTTAAAACCACTATTTGACGGGAAAAAAATTCGATTTGAACCGGTGGTGTGGCCAATTTAATGTAGGAGCCGAGGATTAATTTATACACCTAATAGAATTTCGACAGCAATTCGCAGGCGTGAAAAGCTACTTGTGCAATTTTCGTACACGCTAGCGCTGGGTCTCACTCGTCTCCCTTCTACCTTGAAGCTAACAAGTCTCACAAATACTCGATGACCCGCGGGCACCCTCAATACTCAATCTATCATGCGTTTCGTTGGAAAATTAGATCGGGAAATTAGACCCCGCGAGAATTATCAGGGTCAACCCGTGGCAGTCAACGTGCCAATTAACGACACGGACGATGACGAGCGTGTCGTTAATTGGAGCGAGAATCAACGCTGCCCAAAGCAGCCGCCAATACTAGCGGCAGGCATACGCACACTCACACACACACACACACACACACACACACCCCCCCCCCGAGTCCTCAAGTAATAAGCGGCTCAAGTTGCGTAAAGATGCTACGGAAGAGACGACGGCCAGGATTAATAATATCCATTAGCTACTGTCTATCATCTACTAATCATACTCGCGAAACGCACTCCAGCTCCCCAGTCCTTGCATGCGTCACACGCACACGCACACACACACACACACACACTGCGCTCGCAATCGTCAAGGTAGCGGTGGTGTATAGAGTCGCGAATACCGGGAATGCCTTCCCTCCAAGCAAGGTGTGAGCGGCTGAATGCAGGCCGAGACGATGCAAAAGGCGGGTGAGAAGAGCAGGCAAGAGAGACAGTCGCGGACTCACCTTGAGGAGTCGGGGGTTGGTGGTGGTGATGATGATGATGATGGTCGTGATAATGTTGTTGGTTGTGGTGGTGGTGATGGTGATGGTGGTGATGATTGTGGTTGTGATTCTGATCGGCGGGAAGCGGAGGTAACACTGCTACCGCGTGAGGAAACGGAGGCGCTCCGCCCCTTATAACAGACCCTGCACCATACAGAGGCCACATACGATATTTCTCGTCTCGTTTCTCTTCCCTTCCGCTCCTCCTCCTCCTCCTCCTCCTCCTCCTCCTCCCTCTCGTCCGGAGGAGCGCGAGTCGCGGTTGCCGGGGGAAGCGCGCGGCTGAGGAACGCGAGCGACCCGCGCGAGAAATTCCGCGGTAAGCTGCTGCAAGCGAATCTTTGTACGCTGAAGCGCTGGAACCCTCAGAGACTCTCGGAGGAAGCGATTGGTGGAAAGCGCGCGGCTCGGTCGCGCGCGGCTGTTGACGCGGATGAGACGACGAAGAGAGGGCAAAACGCGGGGAGGAAGAACGAAAGCGTGCGGCGCGTGTTGCTGTCGAGGGCTGCGGCTGTGCAGGAAGCTAGCTTCGATTAGTCTGTACACGCGCTCGTGGTATTTACAGTAATATATCACTCGGCGGTTAGCGAGGGCGAGTGGCCATGGGACATACGTGTCTCTCGGCGCTGCAGTTTTGCTCCGGCGAGGTGGCGGACGGGACAAGTGAACGGCGGATGAGAATGATGACGAAGGTCCGGTGAGACGCGCCGGTGAGAAGAATATGGCAATCCATCGAGAACAAGTCGCGAACTCCGTCGCGGCGCGAGACAGCGAGAGAATATGGAGGACCGGCGATTTCGGTCGGCTTGGGTTGCTCGACACCTCGGAGAAGTAAAAGGAGTTTCTTCGGCATGTTTGCAAACTCTAATCACTTTTTCAGTAATTCCTGAACATGTCCTGAGAAGCATATATCTGTATCTCGAGGAATACTCCCGGGAATTTTTGGAAGATAACTTCAGGACACACGATACATACTTTTCCGAGGAACATTTTTCCCGTCGAAGAGATCTCCTTAAATTCGTGCGTTCTCTCTCTTGGGACCGAGCGCGGTCGTCTGTTTTATTTCAATGAGAGATGTTGGATCTGCGAGACATGTTACTAGTGCCCGGGTACCTTCTCTAGGGAATTTTTCTCTCAGGCTGGGAAATTACTTCCGCGGTATCGAGAAACCCAAGGCTCCACCGAACTCGTCAACCCGATCGCGAGTCTCAGGCCGGCGATCGCAGTCAGATCTTCTACGTCCTGAAACGTCTCACGAGCTCAGCCTCGGACATCGACTTCGCGCGTCTGAGGATGACCTCGAGACGACTTCAAATGCAAGATCCGACTGCGGACAGCGCCTCCCCCTCCTTGGTCGATACAATTAACAGTACTATTCACCGAACACACAAAACGACCACGAGCAACCGCAACGACCGTCTGGCAACGTGAGAAGAACAGACAGACAGACAGACAGACAGACAGACAGACAGACAGACAGACAGACAGACAGACAGACAGACAGACAGACAGACAGACAGACAGACACAATGCAAAAAAAGAGAAAAAAATAAAAAAGAAAAGAAGACAAAAACAAGACTGACGTAAAACACAAATCGCACAGCGAATGAGTGTGAAGAAGAGAGCAAACGCGATTGATGAACCCGCGAAGACTACATACACTCGCGGCTTCTCTTTATCCGCGGACGTCGCGGCAGACTCTCTCTCTCTCTCTCTCTCTCTCTCTCTCTCTCTCTTCCCCCCCCCTCTCTCTCTCGTTCTCTCCTTTCTGCGTCGCATCGGAAGAAACTACTGTTTCTACTCAACTACTACGGTCTACGGGTCGGGCAAAGAGGAATGATAACACGAGCATACTTGGCCATAATCTCTCTCTCACACCCTCTCTCTCTCTCACACACCCTCTCTCTCTCTCTCTCTCTCTCTCTCTCTCTCTCTCTCTCTCTCTCTCTCTCTCTCTCTCTCTCTCGCGCGCGCGCTTCAAGTCTCAGTTGCTCGTTGCTGATGCGTGTTGCTACGTACCTTGCATAGCGGAGTGCCGTCTTTGCGGTGGCGGTGGGCTGCCGCCCGCTTCCACGCTGCTCCCGCTGTGGCTGTCCAGCTGAGTGCTATGACCACTGTCACTGCTCGTCACCGAACCTACGCACACGTCCCCAAGACACTTCCATCACTACACGTTCCAGCCGGGATTCGCGCCCTCACGCGAGATCGCTAAACATCGCTATCGCCTACACTCGCGGGTCTAACACTAGTCTCGTCCCCCCCCTCCCCCCTCTCGTTGTCTACCTCTCCACCAGTACGTTCTCGCCCTCTTAATCATTTGCTTTTCTTCTCTCTCTCTCTCTCTCTCTCTCTCTCTCTCTCTCTCTCTCTCTCTCTCTCTCACTCTCTCTCTCACTCTCCACACAAACACACACACGCACATACTCGAGCAAACTGACGAGAACCTAAACGTCAGGCTTGTCGCCGCTGATCGCTTCGCCTTCCCTGCTCTTCCGCGAATGTCCGCGTTTCGCCGCCGCAGGCGAGGCTCGGCGAGTTTCACGGCTCGAACGTGAAGGTCGCGAAAAGGTAACTGGCCAGGACACCTAGCAGACTCCCCAGGATACGACGGCGGGGGATGTCGAGTGAGAGTCGGTACTCGAACGTGTTCGAATTCTTTCAGGGCTGAAGGTCGCCGCGGATACCTCCGTGCTCGCGGGCACGGATACGGTATTTGAGAGTACTGAGGTTAGGTGAGACGCGCGACTGGTCCGTATGTCCCATGGTGCGAGGGCTCTCCGAGTCGAAGCCGCGCTTGGTTCTTGGGTTGGGTGTACGAGAGGTGTTCGTGATGAGTCGTGTTCTGATCGGAAAGAAAAGCTCGCGCTACAGTAGTCGGCGCAACAAGATGCGTGTGTCCTGTGTGTGTCTGTGTGTCCTTGTGTGTATGAATCAACTAAACAACATGGAACACTGATGAATTGCGTAAACGGCGGTGCAGCGTGCATAATAATGAGATTCCTTGTTGCGAGACCTGACCAGTGTGTACGTAACGAGCAATGAAGGTGCGTGAATGGTGCGTCGCGAGATGCGTGTCTACCAAGATTCATATCTGCTCGACACTTCGCAATCTCTGTCGCGATGTCCAATACGATCCAGAGAGACCAAGTGAAAAGCTGTTAAGGTAGTACCGCAAAATGTAAAACAGCTCGCGGCCTTGAAGTCCACTCGGACGGAACGACCCTTCCGCTGTGACATCGGCGCGGTATCCGTCATGTGGCATTTCGGAAAATTCCAATTCAAACAGATGTCTCGGACGAATGAAAGTTTATGACTTATCTCTTTCGATTGTAAAACAAGCGGGCAAGACTGAGCGACAATCTTGGGCTGCAACTTGGCGGAGATGGCTCGAGGAGCTTGACCTTGCAGACCTTGAAGTTTCTGCTTTTTAAACGTAGACAATCGAATATAGAATTTATTTATTGTTTACAATTCGTCAGGTTTGCGCGTATCTACACATTATAGTGTGCGATCTTTTTTTTTTAACAGTTTAGTGTTGAAGCAAAAATCGCCCTCTCTCGGCTGATGGCTCACAATAGGCGAATGAATCGGTCCATGATACTCGATGAGTAATGAATGAAAAGCTTAAAATGCAAATTCCACATTTTCCGTGAAAATAAGTTTTCAACGTAAAAACTCAACTGCAAAAGAAGGTTGAAATAAATAGTAGCCATTTTGCATTTAACTCAATGTATCCTTATGACAAACAACAGTAGCATTGTGAACTCAGTGTGTGCTTCAAGCTTAAAAATGCTTCACGAGCCATCTCGTTATCGTCACTTTTACTCAAGCTACAGTCTCTTGAAATTTTGCCTATGTTTCAAACAATAGCTATATCGAGTTAGACTGCCATCTCAATTTCTCGTTAAGTACAGCATTGGTCCGTAGCGGAGACTTTGTAACCAAGACCCACTTCCGCAAATTCGAGTTTCAAGCAAGAACTTGGCCAAACGGCCGTTGCCATGACTTAACGTCATGGTTAAACTTGCATCGCGTTTCACATCGTACTTAATAACTGTGGTTCTTGTCTATACGAGGAAAGCCTCGAAGATTTAATACAGTTTAAGACTTAAGACTAGTTACAATGTTTAATAAGACTTCTCCGTCTTATTAAACATTGTAACTAGTCGAATTCCTCCACGATGGTCGTTTTCTTGCAATTTTCGGTCGTTGATAAGTAAATCTTCAAAGTCTTCATCTTCAAGTGGAAGATAATATATACTTTAAAGCCAAATTTCCCAACAAATTTGTTCCTCACTTTTTGTACAGATTATTTTCTCATCATCTTTCGGTGTTTAACTTCAATCACAGGAAATAAACGACCGAACCGGAGTTTATGGCAATTGTGGAACGGAATATTTCCTTTAAACCAGGCTTGACGAGTTAAACTCCGTCTAAAGTAAATTGTGGAACGGGCCTAATAAATGTCAATGTTAAAGAAATAACGGGTCAAAGAAACGCAAAGTGTGCTCTTAGCAGAACCTCGCCTGCGGAAAGTTGGAGTCTCAGCCAAGTATGGTTTGAGTCTCAACCACCATCGACGTTTAGTTACAAAGTCTCCGCTACGAGTCGCCACCGTCACGAGTTCGTGATACAACTCGATAACAAGTCAGACAGACTATTGAACTTTCCAACTATATCAGTCAGCGAATTTCTTCTCCATTGAATGGGGCAAAATTCAACAGGCTGTAACTGACGACTAATGATAAGAAGATCGCTCGAGAAGCATTTCAAAGCTGTGGTCTCTACTTTCGAGACATTAAGTGCACAACGACGCTGTCGTTTGGTTCTAAGATACATCGAATTAGTTGAGAAATGACGACTGATCAATTTTCAATGTCATCTTTCATCTGAAGTTTCACATTGAAAAATAATTCTTCTTAAAGACGTGACACATACGTCTTGAAGAGGGAACTTTAAGCTAGTTTTTTCATTGTTTAGCGAATGTTGCGCGCGCATCGGTTCGTTCGCTCACTGCAAGCGATCAGAGTTCACGGTCGCGCGACACTTGTAAACATTAACGGGACGTTGTTGACTCAGAAATATGTTTGGAAACCAGACTCCAATCTGCAAAATGCTTCTCGAAGCATCTCATTGTCTTGATTCGTCGCAGAGTTTACAGCTCGTCAGACTGCAGTCTCTCTTCAAGCTCCACTCTCTTCTCGGTCGTGAGAAATAGACAAGTTGCAAATTAATAAACAAATAAAGACAAGTCGCCGATATGTAGTATCAATCGAGTTTAAAATAGCGGGAAAGGCCAACAGAGAAAAAACTCTAAAAAAGAGAAACAGAGCCGTAATGTCATACGACACACAGTGGACGAAAACAGAATGACATTATAAATGATTACACGTTACGAGAGAGAGAATGTCGTCGAGGAACCGCGGTTATTTTCGCACGGTACGCACGGTGAATGATCGATCCGTTCGAATAGACTCCCAGAGCATATACATCGTGGGTGAGGGACAGCATCTCGCTTCAAACCAATTCGTAACGATACATCCGTACTCACCGCTCGTCAAGGTTTTCCTCAGCGGCTGGAGATTGCTTAAGCTAGTTACGCTGCTGCTCTCCGCACTGAGATCGACGGGCGGTGGTAGGCTGGCGGGGGTGTCGCTGTGGGATCGTTCATGCATCGGTACCCTGCTACCGGACCCTACTCTTCTAGGCGCACCTGGACTAGGCTCTAAGCCGCTCGAATGTAACGCCAGTCCGGGCACAGGTAACGGCGGAGGACAGTGTTTCGGTTGGTAGGGTCGTGTCTTGTGAGGATCCGACAGAGCCAGCATCTTCCTCACTGCTTGTGGTGACGCCGCGCCGAATTTGGTACCTGCGGGACACCGTGCGAGCGACCGTGTTATGACAGGGAATCTCTCTGCTTTGCACAGAGCGCTTAGCGACCGCTGACCGACCTTGTATGCTCTTCCTGCCTTCGCTGGTGCTACTGGCGCTGCTGGTGGTAGACAAGGTAGGCGACGGATGCCGCCTCCCCCTGCTACCGCCCAACGGCACCGCGGCAGCGACTGTGACAGCTCCCGCGTGCGGCTCGCAATCGACCGAAAGCTGATGCAGACGTTCCTCGTCCGTGATGACTTTCATGTTGGCGAGGTAGGCCTTCACTCGCCGCACCATTTGTGCCTCTTCGAACATCTTCTTCGGGTTCGGCGCGGCGGTCGATTTCTTGCGCCGCTTCACCGTCGCGGTTTGGCCGCCTGCAAGTCGCGAGATGTTATTGAGTCGAGTCTGGCGAGATTGGTGAGGGTGAGAGCGGGTGCTGAGAGTCACCTTGATTTCCGGTGGTCATTTGGTTGAGGGCGACCATCGCGGAACTCGGAGGTTGCCCGCCTCTTTCCAGCATGGTCAGCAGATCGTAAGGCGAGGAACACATGTTTGTAAGCGTGCGCACTTCCTTCGCGATCATCCGGAGCTTCTCAAAGTTCACCAAACCTTCCACCCTCGAGTCGTTGCCGAGGTTTATGAAGGTCAGGTCCTTCTTCACGACTGGGTAGAAGGGTATCTGAAATGCGTATTTAGCGTACAGAAAGGGCTCGAGAAGCTCACGCAAACTTGACATACAAACGTCGACGACGATCTTTGGTGAGATGAAAGATTTAGACTCACTATCGGTGGCTGCGTTTGTTCAGACGCCACCAGTTGCCGGTACTTGCTCATATTGCGACTGGGATCCATCAGTTCCTGCAGGTCGCTGAACAATCTCTGATACTTGGTTGGCAGTTTTTCCCACGAAGCTCTCAACCTCGAGACCGCGCCATGACCCAGACCCGACACGATCGCGAACATGGAGTTGAAGTTTTTGCACTCCTTGCATTGACCTGTGTGCAGCAGAGAGACGACGCGACGCGTCGTTACAGCACGGAGTAACAGTGGAGAGGGAGGGCGAGAAGGCGTTTAAGACACTTACGTGCTATCTTAATAAATTGCTTTATAATCTTACTGCGCCGCACGAGATTGTGTTCAGAACAAACCTCCGTCACGACCCAGAACATCTCTCGGTTGACTAGTTCCGCGAACTGACTGAGCATAGGCACGCCATACCTGCTCTTCAGGACGAACAAATCGTCCACATACTCCGTGGACTCGATTTGCCTGAAAGACAAGACGTAAAGCGATGGGACACACGTGCTAAAAAGTCACTCTCTTCCGCGTACATTACTACTCAAAAGCTCGCAGCGCGTCCTGTAGTTTCGCGATAAAAACAACCGATCGAGAACAGACATCCGACATGTGCAGAAGAACATGATTTCGCACGAAAACTACAAGGGTCTCCAAACTTTGACGGCGCTAACGTGGACGGCCAATCGTCAATTTTACAAAATAACAACGACGAACTTACAGGGTGAGGCGCTGACGGTATCAGCACACCTCGAGTATCTCCGAGTATTTTCTAAGATATGAAGAAATGCAGGAAGTAAATTGATCCGAGGTTCTTTCTCGATCCTCCTCCTTTCATAGAAACGAGATACTCAAGGTGACGCGATAGTTACACGTAGTACGTGGGCAGAAAGATGTTGCAATATTTCACGCGAATCTCTTTCGGGCCGCATCAGTCTTCGGTCCAGTGGGCGAATTCTCGAGACGGACGCGTCCCGAAAGTCAGAGAAAAAGTGGCGGGCAATCTTTCCATCCGAAAGTGTAGCCTCATATCCGCGCTACTAGAATCCTCGTGGAACAATCACCTGAATATACTAAAGTCTTGTAGGGTCAGCTGTATCGCCACTTCCACTGCGTTCAATTGCAGGAAATGCACCTGCGACTCGCGAATAAGCTCCGGAGCTTGTTCGTCGGCCACCAGAGTCTCGGAAATGCCGTTCGTCTTGAGGTAATACCGGGAGCTCAGCCCGATCCGCTCCGCGAGATTCTGAAGTTGATCCGGTAGCCTACGTTGCTTGATCATACCCCCTTCGCCGACGCTCACCTCCGCCAGAGAGAAGTTGGAACTGCTCTCCGTGATGCCGAACTCCTGGAGCGCGAGCATCACCACTTCGTGCGCCGTGGTCTCCTTGTGAATGAGGAGATACTTGCACGTCTGGTCGGCTTTGTACACCTTGAGCACGTGCTCGGGGTAATCGTTCGCTCTCAGGTCGTCGTAGCAGTAGAGCGACGTGAGGTCCGGATTGCTCTTAGAGTGGTAGAGATTCGTGGTGGTCTGCGCGAGGCCAGTGCCCGGTGGCGTGTGCGGTGGCGCGAGTGGGTCGTCCACGTGCACGCCGTCGTTGATCGTGTTCTTTGGTAGTATATTCATCTTCATGAGCGCCTTCTGCAGCCGTCGCTTCGGCCCAAGAGTCATGAAGCCCTTGTGCTCCTTCTTCGCGTCCTTGCACGGCGAGACGTTGTTGTCGGGTATCAACAACGGCACCCCGCCAATCAGGGGGTTCAACGGATTCACGGGGGTCATGGGGTCGACGTGCGTCGACAATCTGGCGCGTGGGTCCGACTGAAGCCTAGGTATCTCGGGTTTGCTCGCCCTGCCGCGCGATCGCGGTGAGTTGTCCGGTATCTGCAGCATCTCCTTGAACGCGAGCAAGTTAGACTTGACGGTTATACTGAGATGCGTGGAGGCTCTGAGGATGTCGAGGGCCTTTGCGTGATTCACGTGTTCGAAACTCTGTCCGTTCACCTCCAAGATCTGGTCGCCTCGCTTGAGGCCGACGTCCTCAGCCTTGGATTGCTTGTCGACCTTTGAGATGAATATGCCGAAGCCCCTCTCGAAGCCGCCCAGGATGCTGAAGTTCAGCACCTCGTCCCTGTTCGGCCTGGCCAGTGTGACGTTCCGCGTCCTCGCTTTCGCGGCGCAGGCGATATTCAGTAGCCTCTGTTGGCCTTGCATCTTTTCCCGCTCGAGCCCGGTCTCGAACGCCTCCAGAAACTCCATCATCGACGGGTCGGTCTCAAAGTCGGTGAAATGGTTGTTCACCCACAGCAGCACGACGCGAGCCACGCGGTCTCGCACTTGCGCCTGGTCGAACCACTCCAGCAATTGACTCGCGACTAGCAGCGGGTTGTCGATGAACGTTCGATGAGTCAATAAGAAGTCCTCCACATAAGTGGGGTCCGTAATACTGTTCTCCTCGATGAGCTGTAACATCAAACGTTCCGGAGTACCACGGATCACTACGTGACCTCTCCGCGCTGCGCCGTCCAGAGCTCCACGCAGCTCAGTCACGAGGATCACCCTGCCGTTCTCCTCGTGCCGCCTAGTGTTCTCCTCGCCCTGGTGCTGAATCCGAAAGTAATCCGCTTGCGTGACGCAGACGAATTGGCAGTCGTCGCACTTTGTTCTCATGACTCCGCAGTGCAGCAGCCTGTCCATGGTAGGCAAGATACCGAAGCAGTCGCCGAGGCAGAGCTGCTGGATCTCACCGTTGCTCTGCTCCACCTCGACGGCACCGTTAATCAGCACGCTCCAACTGTCGAGCTCCTCCCCGTCGTTCAGCACCACCATACCGGCGCGCTCGACCACGGCGAACACCATCACCGCGCACAGCGCTCTCCTCACGGCCAGAGTCATATTGGTAAAAGCCTTCAACTGTTGCGTGAACTCTAAAAGAGTCTCTATGTCGTCCTCCGTTCTCTCCACCGGGTCCTTCTCCAAGCACTCTCTTACGGGGTCACGAACCGTTAAACTCTGAAACATCGCGACGACATTAGAGTGCGCACGTTTGCGACACAACGTCAAGCAGTCGATCGTCACAAGACCGATACTCACGTCCATACTCTCGGCCAGATCCTCCTCCTCGTCGCTGTCGACGATTGACTCTACGAGACCCGAGAGGTCCACCTCGTCGGGGTCCGCGTCCAATGAGCTTTGTACAGACGTCATGGTGTCAGATCCACTGTACGCTGAACTGGTGTCACTCGAATGACTACTCCTGTTTGACTTCTGGTACAGCTCGGGCCGCCCTGTCAGGCCCTGCGAGAACTGTGGAGAGACATTTTTACAACGTTAGTTACTACTCGGCATTGCTTTTCGCGCGCTCTTCACTCCCCAGAACTCAGAAATTTCGCAATTTGAAACTTTCCGAAGCATCAGGGCAGAAAGAGCGCGAAGCGGATCATCTCTGCTGATCCGCTCCGCTGACGCTGATCCCTCACATGGAAGAAGTGTCTCCCAGCGAGGAGAACACGAAGGGGGAACGGAGTTGCAAATCAGAGGATAATAATAACATCCAGCGAAAATCCGTCGGCCTAACCTGATACTTCCGCATATCCTGACGGTCGTAACGAGCAACGTGTGTCCAAGACTGGCTCTATCACATCACCATGGCTCGCCATCAGAATTTGCGAGCACGGTCTGCGGCGGGGAACCAGCCGACTCGACTCGACTCGACTCGACGAGGTTCCCGTTCGCATCGCGTCGCGTCGACTCGTCGAAGACGACCATGCCTGCATCGCTCCAGGCGACGAGCAAAAACATCGTGGACGCTGCTGCGCGCACTGGCTGGCAGCGTGCGCGCGGAGTAGGAAATACCAGGAATGGGCGTGATTGGGACAGGCTCTAGTCGGCGGTTAGGTTAGGTCGCCGCGGCGGCGACATGACATCGAGCGCACGCACGCACGCGGAGCTTCGGGCACGGCTACTATACGAGAGTACACACACACACACACACACGCGCGCGCGCACACACCGACGCATCATCCGCCCAAACAAAACGCCTATGACGCCTGTCATGTCATCGCAACAACGACGACGGCGAGGGGCGACCGCCTACGCCCGCGCGCTCGCTCGGAGAGCAATTTTCCCGATGAGCGTCCATGAGACGGAGAGAGACGGAGATGGCAGACGTGCTCTTTCAGAGCAGAACCTCGTCCGGAATGAATGCTAGGTTATACACACGAGAGGAGCGCGAGGAGTGCGAGAGCTTGCTCTCGGGAGCAGAACTGGAGATGCAGAGAGGAGAGAAAGGCAGAGAGGGAGGAAGAGGGAGCGAGAGCGAGAGCGAGAGAGAGAGAAAGGGAAAAAGAGCCAAGGCCATTTTGAGTATCTCCGGCAGCAGAGGAACTCACTTGGTACATGCCGAACGCGTCCATCGTGCCGACGGCAGCCTGGTGGTGTCGGTCTCCCTCCCTCCCTCCTCGGCGAGGCACACAATCACGACGGACACGGCGAGCCGTTCGCGGTCACGGACGTCCGCATTTTCCTACGCGTTTCCGTCTCGGCCGCTCGACTTTTCTCCCGCGCCCGTTTTCCTTCGCCGCGTGAGCGAGCGAACAGTCACGACGACTCACGGCCGATATTCTCGCGCAGCCACGCGACGTGCCGCGTGACCCTCTTTGTGCGGGCCGACGCGAGGATCGTGACGCGTGTCGGTCCGTCTCCTCCTCCTCGTCGTCGTCGTCGTCGTCGTCGTCCTCGTCACCGTCGTCGTCGTCACAGCGCGCCGTCAGCTTAGCAGACATAGGACTGCCGCCTCTCTCTCTCGTCCCACCGCCACCCTCGGCCGCGCCGTGCTGCCGCGGCATTCCCTTCGAGAGCGCAGGGTGGTCACGTGACCCCCGCGAGAGCGGCTCCCAGGCCCGTGTCAACGGGGGGCGCACCGGCGGGGGGCACGACGCCGGGCCACCTGTAGCTTCCGCGCGCGCGCGATGCCGCGTTTTTTGAAGGTTTGCCGTCGGAGGAGACGCTGCGGAGTCTCTTCCGCTCGTGAGAATCAGCCGCGGCCGTGGATTACGCGAGAAATTGCTCCTCTCGGCGGAGAGAGATCTCTCTCTCAGGTGAGATCTCTGGCGCGGCAAAGGGTGAATTTTCCGGGTGAATTTCGATTGTATCCCGGTGGGGTTTCTAAACGGGAGGAGTCAATTTGCTTTTTGGATGTAGTTCGACACTCGGCGGATGTTGAATGAGGGAGGACTGGACTTTAGGCAATTTTTCCGAAGCGAGTTCTCTCTCGTCGGAGACGACGAAAGAGAGGGAGACAGGTTTGATCGAATAAAAATGTTGGGTTATGAATTCCGGAGGATACTGTCGAAACTAGATCGCAGAGCCCGTCGATGAGAGGAACGTCGCGGTAAATAGGATGAATGTTGACGTTGAAATTTGATTCGGGAGCAATTAGGAATTCGATTACATTTCGCTCGGAGAACGGCACGGAGATATTGGCTGACAGTTTAATGAAATTTCATTGTCGATACTACAATACATCGGCTGGGAATTCAATTAAATTTCGTTACACCGAGCATGTGTTCCTGTCGGCGGTCGTTTTTTTCGACACGGCCACCGGCGAACATAGATAGGATGTAATTCCGTCTATCGAGATTTCGACGTCATCGCGACTCCGATATTCACAGGCAGGTTTTTCAGTTGTATTAACTCTTGGATATTAACACCAGGATGTTTTTGTTCCCCTCTTAGTATTTTAGGACGGGTGAATTTCTACCCACATTTTCTTATTTTTTATCTTTTTGAATGTACATCGACTATAAATATTTAACAAAATTTTGTGGCAATGTGCAAAACAGCTTTAAATCGTGTACAATTTTTTTGAAGGAAAAATTATAACCTTTCAGTGTAAAAAAAAAAAAGAAAACTTTTATTTGTACATAAATGGCCTAAAATAGTCCTGAACATTATAAATCCTGGCACTGTCGCTGATGTACCGTACTGCTATCTAGCAGCAACAGTTCAAAAATATTATCGGGTGTGTTTTCACTCATCCTAGTTTTTAAGGGTTGAAAGGCAACGAGAGAGAGAGAGAGAGAGAGAGAGAGAGAAATTTGCATCCTGACTCATTAGCATGAGATATATACAAAGCGATTATTGCTCGCGTGCTCGCGGCACGCAAACAGAGGCGCGGTGAGACAAAAGTTGAAAACGGCGCGATAACGATCTGCGTAATTGGTTTATTAGCGCTCGCGATCGGGCGCTGAGAAAAGAGGGTCGTCGGCGCGCGCAATTTGCGCGCCGGCTGGGAAACGGGGAATTCAAAACGGAGCGGCTGAGAGCGGATTACTCGTGGGAGGCGTCGGGCCTGATGATATTTGCGAGTAATTGTGAGTAATTGCGAATTTATTTATTGCACAGACGGGGACACAATGGGCCCGCGATATTCGTAGGAGTCTCCCACGCTCTTCGAATGCTTCCAAGTGACATGTGCGCGTCGTCGTTCGCCATGACTCGGTCGGTGTAATGACTCTTCTCGATGAAATGTGATGGCGTCGTGCGCAATTGGATCGCGCTCGAGTTCAACTTTGAAACCGACCGCGTTCCGGCCGCGAAGTTTCGACGATTGACGACCACGAGAGAGAGAGAGAGAGAGAGAGAGAGAGAGAGAGAGAGAGAGAGAGAGAGAGAGAGAGAGAGAGAGAGAGAGAGAGAGAAAGATGGGAGGAATACTCGATGAGCGGTCAAATGAAAGGCAATCATTGGAGACGATCATCGACAAGACAGATGAATTGATACTCGCGATTGATAGCAGTTTTCGCAGAGCGGGTTGTAAAGACGGAACTCAGGATGGGCGATTTTTATCGATTAATCGAAAGAACCGACAGTTTTTCTTTTTCAATTAATCGATGTTTTTTTTCAAATGATTTTATTTCTACTTGATTAATCAATGTTTGATGATTTTTTCTCAACAGCGACAATCGATTATTTTTTTTTTAAATAGAGAATTTTTGTAATATCGTTTTTCAGATACGGTAAACGAAATTTATGAACGTTAAGTCCGGATCTGCGATAGGTATAGTAAGCTTTGAGTCTTAAGAAATTGGCCAACCACAGTCAATTATTCAGTCAATTCTCGTAAAAGTAGGCTGGGATTGGTTAATTTCTTAAGGTTTAAAGGTTTACTACATCTATTGTACAGTATGGACAATAGGGTTGCCCGGTTTTTATTGATAAGTTTCGGAACGTTGCCGAATGGTCCAATGAGAGCACCTCTATCTTTCCCAAAATTAGTTCTCTTATCACATGGAAAATACATCAAATGAGATGCCGAGTTAAAGGCCTCGCGTACTGACGCGATTAGCGACGAACAATAAGCGATATCTCTAATGAGAGTTCTGTTTTAAAGAAGAAACGAAAGCTCTTTCTTCTTAAAACAGAACTCTCATTAGACATCGCTCACAGCACGTCGCTAGTAGGGATGCGACGACAAATCGATAATATCGATATATCGAGCGACAAATATCGAATATCTATCGATATTTTTTTGTCTCCGATAAAATCGACATATCTCGATATGAATTTTACTGATTTTCGTATTTTTCAGTTACAGCTCTGGAGACCTATTACGGTATCTACGACCGCGATGAAAATTACAAAAGTGAGTGAATTCACTAGAATATATATTATGTAATTGCTCGATGTCTAGTAAATTCGCTCACTTTTATCATTCCCACCTCAATCGTTGAACCGTAATAGATCTCCTGCTCCATGCATGTGGTGATCTCCGGCAAATGCCTGCGGTTCATTATATATTTTCTAATAAAAATGCGACAATAAATTATACGAAGATAAAAATTTTTAAAAGACCTTTTCAAATTTTTCGTGCATACCCCTATATGTATACATTATTTTATATAAATATCGACATAAATATCGATATTTATTTTTCAAAATTATCGATATTGTCGATGGTTATCGATGGTTCTGAATGACGATAATATCGTTATCGATATTTTGAGAGAATCGTTGCATCCCTAGTCGCTGGTCGCGTCCAGTGTGCAAGATCCTTTAGGAGAATTTCTAGCAATATTAAGAATACCGCGGGTGTCATTCGACTCTTGTTCAACATTCAATGAAAAATAAGGATTGAATAACGCAGGCCACATCTGTTGCGAATTTAAGAACATACCAACATGTAAGCAAGGAGAGCATCCGAGCGATATTTCCGAACGCACCCTTAGCAGTGTTTAATTCGGTGCTGACCAATTTAAACGTTCACCCTGCCAATTTAATCGATTGATCGGTAAATCGACTTTTTGTTTAGAAAACAATCGACGTCATTTCAATATTTTCTTCATTAATCGATATTTTAAACATCGCCGCCCAACCCTAGACGAAACGCGCGAGAATTTCTCGCTCGCCTCGATGTCTTTCATTCTCCCCATGTTGGCAATTCTGCTGGCTGACTTGCTCGTCGCTCGGCTCGAGTCAGAATTTGGAGAAAGCCAGCCGCTCTCGCGGGCTCTCGATCGACAAACACGGATCGGCGGCGAGGAGACGCTCTCCGACACGAAAATAGAGGGGATTAAAAATAAACGATAACGCCCGATAACGTAACGCGGCTGCTTCGATTTGCATGCCCACGCGCAACGCCGAGAGCGGTCGACGAATGACGACGATGACGATGATGACGACGTCGGTGTGTAATAATGCCATAAGAACGCTGTGTAAAACGCGCCCGGGACCGGTCGGGAAAGAGCGCGGCCGATTAATATTCATCAGCCTTGGCGATTAGTTAATCGCCACGCGGAATGATGAAGCGACGTGACGTAAATTGACGCCGATAAACGACACCTGAATTGGATCTTAAAGGGGCCTTTTGTGGAGAGCCACTGTCGGCGCGCGGTGGTCGTGTGAAATGCGCTTAAGGAGTCGACGGACGGTCGGTCGATCGTCGCGCGCTGGAGTGAGACGGAAGAACGAGACGAGAGGGATAAAATGCAGGGAGAGCGGACGAGAGCGAGAGCGAGAGCGAGAGACAGAGACAGAGAGAGATAGAGAGAGAGAGAGAGAGAAAGAGTGACAGAGGAGGAGGAAGAGGCGAGCAGATGGAGATAGAAGTGCAGAGGAGAGAGAGAGAGAAAGAGAGAGCCATCGTTGCTGGTCCGCTCAAAGCATCCAGCAACGGATAGTAACCGCTCAAAGGCCACTGGCCGACCCGACGGATGATTTATACGATCCGTTATGTCGTGCCTGTGTCTCACTTTTCCTTTTGTCCCGAGCCGCGCACACTTTCCAAATTGCTTCTCCCATTCAGCTTCTCTCTCGCCCGGCCGGAACCGGCGATCGCGTGCTGTGTCCGCGCACGCGATCGCACACGCGCCAAATTCGAGCGGAATTTCGATTATCGGGCGGTGGGTGACTGCAGTGTGAGCTTGCTTACACATACACGCGCACACACACACACACACAGATGCGCGCGCGTCTCAACTGAATTGATGTCGTTCACAGCTTGATACGTCGTCCGAGACGACGCCGGTATTGATTTTGATGAGAAGATAATTGTGTCTCGTCTCGAAGCGGAGTGAGAGGGGGAAGGGGAGGCCGATAATACGCACGACGCGGTGGAAGCAAAGGGAAGCAAAAGGAAAGGCGATCGCGCGCTCCTGTTCCTATGTCTCGAATGTCGAGTCTCTCTTCGGCGAGGTGTGTCTTCCGTTTGTTCGCGAGTCCTCGGGGGTGATGTATCTCCTGCTTTCTCGTGTCACGAAAGGAAGGGAGCGTCGTCGCGGGTCACTCGGGGGTCCCCCGTCTGCTCGGGTGAGCGGACGTGAAAAAAGGGATACTCACCGTGTCATCGAAGACCAGGTTGACCTGACGGTGGTCGGTTATGGGATGGGGGTGCGGTGGTCGATGCATCCTTCCTCCGCCATGCACTTCCGGGTAGTCGATCTGCGGGAGACGACACGTTATTGCGGTCTATAATAGGCCGACAAGAGCGAGTGATAAATAAATTACGCGCGCCGCGCGCGTGATTGATCGATCTCGCTCGTCGCCGAGCGGTCGCGTCTGCTTATCGGCGAAACGTCCGAACGATCGGCGACGATGCCGATTTGTCGCGCGAGTTTCTACTGTGCATCCTCGGGAAACGGTCGCAGTGAGCCTCTTCCCGACTAGAAAAATTAATAAGGTTCTGGTAAGAGCCTGATTATTTTTCCACAACATTAATCGGGCCCTAATAGGGATAGGAGGGGCCTGTAAGACGTGTAAGAAATAGTTGAATGGGCCCTTATATAAGGCAATATTAATAGGATATAAGGAAATATTTTTATTACTGCTTGAGTAAAAATATTCGTTCTTTTCATTCCAAGAAATTTAGACTGTAATTTCTTTATTTCTTTATCTAACCTTGTTAGTATATAAGGATTTTTTTTATTTTGAAAACATAGCATACTTTGCAATAAAATATAGCATTTGTTACACATAAAAATCCTGCTGCTATTTTTATTAAAATTTGCTGCATTTCAAAACAAAGGCAATATTAGAAAAATCCTTGGAAGAGAATATGGCAACTAATGAAACTAATAAAATTTGTTTTTAATTGCAGTATAATTAAAGATCTTTAAAAGAACCAGATAGAACGTACCTACCATGACAATTTTATGACACGCTTCAGATCTTACTAATTTTCTATAATAAAACTTGATTTTATATATCTAAAGTATCCTTAAGAAATCCTTCTAAGGCCCACATCAGTTTTCCATGTTAAAGCGTTATTTTGTAAAATCCAAGGCATTCCCTAAAAAATTTTTCTAAAGCCCTCCTCAGCTTTCCCTATCAAAGCCTTATTTATTAAATCTAAGGCATTCCTAAAAAATCCTTCCAAGGCCCTTCTCAGCCTTAGAAGGATTTTTAGGGATGTCTTAGATCTAATAAAAGTACGTAAAATCTAAGGACCTAAAAGATCCATCTCGGGGCCTGATATGGTGGTAATAATGAGGCATCCCTTTTTAGAGCATCCTATTTTCAACTTTATCGCGGCCTTGTGTTTTGTAAGGATGGCCCTAACAATTTTTTGCTCGGGTTCCTCCCGCGACCTTCCAGAGCCCTCAGCATCGAGCATCCGGCTGGCTGAAGGACAACCTCGAATCCCGCCGATTTAAAAGTAAAATCGTCACGATCGCGTGGAGAGACGAACCGAAGCGCAAAGCTCTCTGCGCGGCCATCTTCGACCTCTCGACTTCCACTTGTCGAAGAAGCCCCCTCGCGAAATTCTCTATCGCGTCATCGCGTCAACCGCGTCGGTCTGCGATTTCGCCTCGTCTCGCTAATTTACGTATAAAATAACTCGCATAACAGAATGAGCCAGCTGACGAACGTACGCATTGAGCGTCCCATTATCAGCAAGGTTCAACGTGATATCGGTTACGAGAGCTTGTTGGCCGATCTGAAGGCAGCTTCAGGCGAAACAAAGGCCTGTTCCGAAATCGGTTAACCCTCTTGCGGCTCTATTTACTGACAGAAATTAGTATCAAAATGGTTAAATCTTTTCTGCGGAGGAAAATATTTACTTTCATGTTTTCATGATAGTTTCCGAACGTGCTGATTTCAAATTTGAGGTTAGGTGTGTTGCAAGATTCAAAATGGAAGGTAGTAAATCTTACCCCGAGTCAGACTCGGGTCTAATCGTAGGCCGGTTAAGGAAATTTTAGTTTTAGTTGCAAGCTTGAGAGGCCTTAAGCTAACTTGGATACGTCTCGTAATTCATCAGCTGATCGACTTTGCAATCGGGAGATTCGATAATCAAGACGAGTAATAAAAAAAATCTATCCATTCCTCTGCTTAACATCACAAACTTAAATAGCTAAAGCCAAGTTTGTAAGCAGAAATAGTACACGGGGCGGCGCTGTGAACGCCGAAGCGTGACCAGCTGGCCAATCACGGGACGTACCCAAATTGGTTTAAGGCCTGCCAACCTTGCAACAAAAACCAGAGTTTCGGAAACCGATTTCGGCCTATTATTGTACATCTGAGGGCACGGCCGCCCCCCCCCCCCGTCGGACGAGCCGCAGGACGCAGCTAACGCTCTCCGCGCGTGCGTCATTCGGAATAATGAATGACAGAAGCTGGCGCGCGCGTGTCCGTGCGATATCCCCGGGTCGACCGCTGCTCTTAATCCGGAACTACGCGGGCTTTAAGCAGCTGCACGCTGAGACATCGCGCTCATGATTTACACGGCGGGGAGGGGGTGGAGGTGGCACAAGAGGCGTCCTATCGTTATTACGCCCTACGAGCGGACGCTCGTTACGCTGATAATGTAATCTGCGCACAGCGCCACCTGCGCGGCTGCGCTTGCCCTTCCGGCTTTGTGTGCAGCTCGCGCCTTGAGATTAACCCGCGCGCGACACCTTGACACTGTCCCTTTAACGTCCGAAAGCCAAAAGAGAGACGGGCACTAAATTGCTCTCTTAATAGCCGAGACGATTACGGCCGCTTACAAAGCGCGTCTTTGTAGCAGTCGCGTAACTTTCTTCCGAGTTCTCGGCTGCGTGATTCTCGCGCTCGGGGTAGAAGAATAAATGACTCCTCGCCAAGTGTGAGACATGTTTCGCGGAACGTTATCGGGCCGGCCGAAAGCAGTCGCAGGACTCGTGGAAGAAAAGGAAGGCGGCGTAATCCGCGATAAATTTCCGGGCGAGACGAAGCGCAGGATAATGCGCGATTTTGCAGCAAACGGCCGCTCTCTCGTCGACGCAACAAGTTGAATGAATTCCCCCCTCCCCCGTTCGAGCGCGTTTTAGGCGGGCGTGTGCGCGGCGCTTAAGGGTAATTTACACGGCTGCTTTTATTCGCTTTGAGCGAGAGCTTTTTGATTCGTCAGCGAACTCGCCGGTCAAATCTCCCTCTGGACGCTCGATTTTCACTGGCCAGCGCCTAAAATGTAGAAGACGCGCGCGACATCTGGTGGTCGCCGAGACAAAGTTGGACACGTTCAACTCTGAGCATTAGGCGCTAGCGAATAAAAGCGGCAGCGTGTAAATCACCCTCTGCGGAGTGAAAGTAGGATCGCCAACTGCTTGGTTTTGACCCAGTCAGGTTTTCCGAAGTCTTGTCCAGTGTCCGGTTAATAAAGTCAAATCGGACGTCATACATGTCCGGTTTTTAAGTTCCAATCCAATCAATGGAATGAGAGTTCAGATTTTAGCAACGTTTCGCCGTTTCAAGCGCCTGCAAACGATCGAGCGCGACGAAAAGCCATCTAAGTAGATGATCTGCCGATCCGTCATTCCATATATATTAAAAAGATAATAGTTTATTATTTTATTCAATCAAATCTTGTTTATAAAATTTTGTTTGGAAATTAATATCGTAAATAGATTCTTGTCATATTTTGCATTTAATGTAACATTATGATTGTTATTCCTGTTTCCGGTTTAGTCCGGGTTGGCTTTGTCACCAAAGCAGAAATGTCCGGTAATTTTAACTTTTGGATTTGGCAACCGTAAGTGAAAGCGAAACCTCCGCCGAGAAGGCGGAGAAGGTAATTCCTTAATTTGTTCATTTCGACTCCCTCTTTCCTCTTTTCGACAGCCTTTTATGCGTCGCTACAGGACGTTTCTCCACTGGCAGGAAGAATATCCTCCCGACTGAACTCGTTTCGCCGCCGAAGGAGAGTGCGAGCACTCTCCGCGAGAAAATGGGCCGTTTTCTTCCTCCGCGTCGGAGGTCGGAGATTCCGCCGCGCATCGGGCTTCGAATTTGAATCGTCACAGTCGTCTTTGCGAGGCACGTCGGGCCGCGCCAATGTTTCGCGTCGTGACCGTTTCTCTCGTTTCACGCCGACAGGACACGGCGCGCTCGTTGTGACGCGACGAAAAAGGAACAGATGAGAGGAAGGGGGAGAGCGAGAGCGAGAGAGACAGAGACAATGAGACGAATGCGCGTTCGGGCCGGAACTCGTAGGCCGGACTTCCGGTAGATACGCTGGTTTATACGTGCCATTCACGGGACCGCTCCCTCGTGAGTCGATTGTCGCGATGAATGTTTCAGCAATTTCGGCATGAAAGTTCAGTTTCCAGCGGCGAGTCGGTCGGTCGGTCGGCCGATCGATCGGCTGGATTTCGCCGGGTCGCGGCACAAAAGAGCAGCGCTCGATGCGACGACGTATTGTCGCATCGTCGTCTCGTCGCGAGGCGAACGACGAGGCATTCGTCACGACAGCTTTTTGTTTCCCGACCGATCAAGACGACGACCGATGAAGCCCGACACTCTCGCGACATAATTTTCGCGAGAAACTTGCATCTCGCGGTACTCTCTTTGTAAAGTGATTTTTCCCTTTATTTATTAGTCTCATATTCCAAGCGAAGTCTTTCGGAGCAGAAAAAGAATTTCTCTCTCGACAGAGCGATTAAAGTGAAAAACATTCATCTCTTTTTAATTTATTAGATATTCCAACTGTTCTCCTCTTGTTTCAAGAGGATTTCCTCTTATATGAAGAAGCATTGCGAGAAGTTGAATATATGCTTTCTTTTAACTATGTTTTTCATACAATTGGTTATGATGAACATTTTTATAGCTATAAAGTTCATAACAAATCTGATGGGAAATTTGTTTGTTATGATGGTCTTGTTTCATTCGTGCCTACTTATTGTAGAACTGAAACCAGAAGTACAGAAGTCTATATATATATATATATATATATATACATATTGCTTTTCGCTATACATTGTAATAATTTTTTCCAAATTAACCAGTATAACCAGAAATAATAATCCTCTTGAAGGAAGATCAAATAAATCTGTGTATAGGAGGAAATTTATATTAAAATCAATAAGATTTCCATTATACATATAATCCCTCTAACTTTAAGAATAACGCGTTTATAATATTTTCCTCTTAATCTCAGAGGAATCCTCTTGAGGCCATATACAGGGTGTCCCATTTCAAAGTTT